GGTGAGGGATAAGTGTGATGTGTTAAGGAAGAGTAGACATACTCCTTGTCAGTAAATGCAACAGGACTGGTCATGACTTTGCTTTTTTCCATACAATCTTATTAGTAATATACAGTATTAAGGCATAGTTTACTGACAGAAGCACCTTGTGCTCCTCAGGACTCTTGGTGCCCAAGAACTTCTATTTTCAACTCCTTTCCGTACCTTCTTATTTAGCAGAGCTAAGGTAAGATGATGAAAATGAATAGCTCAGACAAGTAGTTTATCATTTTTAATTATCATTTTCACAATCTCATAGTATCAGGTCAGATATGTTATGCTTTGGATAAAAAGAAGGCATCTACGTGTATAAGAGATAGCATGTGTAAAGTGAAATATTCTTCATGTACTCTAACTTGGATTTGTAAAGTAGCTTTATCTGCTAGTTTCATCAAATGTCCTCCACTCCAAGCCCAACAGTTTGACAGACTAAGACCAGGTCACAATTCGAGAACTCAAAGCTCTCGGCTACTCTTGGTGACTAGTGTGTGGGTTAACCAAGGGAGCACAGCAGAATTTATTTTGAGCCACGAAGCGGCGACTTTCCAAGGTTAGTACTAATGAGCCCCGAAGGGGCGAGAGTATTGTAAAAGACCAATACTCTCGCCGCTTCGAGCCTCAAAATAAATTCTGCTGTGCTCCCTTGGGTTAACTTATATGGCCTTTGTAAACCTCATGACATTGTAGGTAAAGGAAAAGAGCATAAAGATAATTTTTTATTGTTCTTTTTTTAATAAGACTATAAATAGTGTTTAAACCAAGGAGAAGGGTGAAAAATCTCATTTTTTTTTGTTTAAACTTTAAGTGTTGGTCCAGTCAGAGGCTTGTACCTGCAAACAATAATCCAGTGCTCTATCACTTCATCTTATTAGTTGGGTTGTCAATATTTGATCTTGATAATTTTTTTTCTTTTATCTATCTATCTATCAATCTTTCTATTTGTTATTTATCTATTTGTACTTATTTTTATAGGCAATTCCTGTTATCAGAGGTAAGCCATTCCTTCACTTTGATCCTTGTTTAAAATTTCACTTGATAGTTTTGCTTTCCTTTGTGTGAGCATGTAGTTCCATCTAATAAATACTTTGCACTTTACATCAAACTTTCCAAGTTTGATAAGTGGTTAGAATATAAAGATGTATTAATTAGACAAGACATGTGACTGTCCAAAGGCCACCTGGGATAGTGATTGATGGTTCTGACGAGTTTTTAGAGTAGAGTTACAAAATTCAAGAAAGTCCTGTCATTTAACTTGGTTAAAAAGAATGATTCATGTATGGCCACTAGAACTAAAGATTATTAATTTTAAAAAAAATAAATTAAAGTAAGAAAATGCTGCATTAGATAGAAGATTTCATTGTGGCCATCTTCCTCATGATTCAGGAGTATTAAAAGGGTTGTTTTCATTCCACTGTAAAACTAAGTGTAGTATTTTAATTTTGTGCAGGCTTTATTGCTCTGATGAACATCATAATGTTTTGAGCTCTGTTTTAACCCAGGCTCAACACTAACGGTAGCCAACTACCCACAGACTGGTAGAAATTCAATTTTGGCTAGTGGTTTTCTATTTCCACCAGCCAGTTTGGCTAATAAACAAACTGAAATTGTTGTAACATCTAAGTTGTCACAAGCCACTTGGCTAGTAAGTTGAAAAGTTCATGTCGAGCCCTCAACCCTTAAGTCCGTCACAGTGACTAGCTTCTAATAATATTCTCCTTACAATATCACCCTTGAATCAAACATGAAAGTCATGAGAATTGACAAAACGATCACCAACTAAAGGAGCTCTTGACTGTTAAACAAATTCTCTATGTTTAGCACCGTAGGAAATGTATAGAGAATGGTATGGAGAATATGCATACTGATAGGGTGTGGAGATCTAACTTACAGTGCTGTTATCCATCAGGTGATGGTATTTTTCAGAAAGGAGTGGATGTTGCTATTGAACGGTTGAATAAAGGAGAATGGATTCATGTTTTTCCTGAAGGTAACCAATGCTGAAGAGCTTTTGATTAATTTAGAAATCTAAGTTGAGTTTACTGTTATCAGACAATCAATTTTTCTTGTATTATCAAGGCTTGATTGAAAGAGTATTAATTGAGCTACAATAGTTGGTATGCATGCAAGCAGGGGTTTCAATGAAAGCCAGTTACCAATGGTTTTCAGGCACTTGTAAGACTATTCATTGCCCTCTGTTTAGCCTTTGAACAGCCTCTTGTGTTTGGGTTTTGCCATGTGGCACAGCTCCTTTAATGTCATCAGCAGCTTCTTATGGAAAAAGTTAATGAAACCCCTGAAGTAAGTTGAATTGCTGATGGAAGAGAGGGTTAGCTCTTTGAACAAATTATCATTGGCAGCTATACTTAGTCTAGTAGTAGGGGTTTGGAACATAGCGTGGAGAACAATTTTGATCGATGTAATTATCGCTAAAGGGGAGGGTCACCATTTGTCACAGCATTTATTATCCAATCTTGTTATTTCTTTCATTCAAAATTGCAAGTCTGATTTGTCAACAAGAATCAATCAGAAATTTTGATAAAAGTAATTTCTTTTCAAACTGTTTTGTGGAGGTTGTTGACCTTTAGTGACAGCTGTTTCAAAGTGATATACAAACCTCAAAGGGCTCAATGTTTTGAGCATGCAGAATGGCATTTAATCCTCAAACTCCCAGAAGTGATTAATGTAACTTTTCTCAATATTATCCATATATTATCCAGCAAACAGGTAATGAGAATACTTAAACTCATTAGGTAGAAGTTATTATCTTGATCTAACACCAAATTCTTTTATAACATAGCTTGTAAATTCGTGCAATCAAATTCAATAGTGTGAGTGTGCTTCAATTTTCCATTGTGCACGTTGGTGACGTCAGCAAACAAATGCCTCGCAAAAAAATTTTTTTCTCACGAGTGACTTCAGCATTTTTCATTAAAAAACGGGAAAAACTTCGGCAAAAAAGTTTAACTAGACATGGCAACAAGCAAACAAGCCAATGAAGATCTGCCTACTTTTTCTTTGGGAATGGATTTTTTAACTCCCAAGAAAGAACCCAGAGAAAGGGAAAACAAAACAATCAACGGTTTCATCTCGTTTCGGAACTCTAACTTCATTTCCATGCATGAATTCACCTGTCAGTTTTTGACCAATCTGAGATAAGGTCATTGAAGCATGGCAAAATACTTTTCCGAAACAAAATAAACAATGCATTGAAGCGTAGGAGNAATTGATTGTTGATTGATCAACTGATTGATTGACTGATTAATTGATTGTTGATTGATTGATTGACTGATTAATTGATTGTTGATTGATCAACTGATTGATTGACTGATTAATTGATTGTTGATTGATCAACTGATTGATTGACTGATTAATTGATTGTTGATTGATCAACTGATTGATTGACTGATTAATTGATTGTTGATTGATCAACTGATTGATTGACTGATTGATTAACTAATGGCTTGACTGAGTGACTGCCTGACAGACTGAGCGGTTGACTTGCTGAGGCAAGGAAGGACAAAGTGGGGGACTGACTCATTGGCTGACAGACACATTTTGAGACTTACTTATTAATCAACCTATTGACTGACAGAGTGAGTGAGGATTGAGTTAATAATTAATGAGTTAATTGACTGGGCCGACTGGCTATAAAGAAGCAAGGGATGTTTTCTCGGGGTAGACCAACAAATCTGCGTATTAGCACTCCTGAAAGAAAAGTTTGTGTTTAAGAGGTTTAGGTTTAAGTCCTCAGGGTCATTATCTGGCGTTTTTTGGGCTAGACTCATTAACCTTACGCATCCACCCTCCTTACAAGAATAATTATAATAAATGGATTGTGGAAAACTGTCAGGGAAACTTGTTTGCATGGTGGCTACCTGCAATGGAATATCACCTTATCTAAACAGAGTAGCAACTTGATCCTCCTTGCTAAAAAAGCCAGGATACGCCCTTATTTCTGGTCCTTCGGTAGTCTTTTATTATCGAGTTACATTGTAGCTAAGCCTTCCATGTTTTACTTTTCCCAACAGAGAGTCACCGTGCTTATAGGAGAGCCAATGGAGTTCACGGAGACTGTAGAAGAATATCGAAATGCCAAGAAAACTGCTGTAAGTTATTCAGTAAGACTAGTATACTTATCAGTTAATTAGGCGCCAAGTGACCAACAAGCTTTACGCAATTCTGATGGTCCTTGGGAATCAGCGAATTCTAAACCCCCTGTTCAGTTTGTGGAAACACTTCGCTAGCCTCAAGCCTCTCGGTGCTCAAATGACTTTCATGCGGTCCTCGTCACGACATTTACAAGGGGTAGAGGGATAAATGGGAAGAAGTGTGAAGAAGTTTTTTCATCCTAGTTAACCCAACATCTGATGGTTAATTCTCCCCTCAAGTTGCTACACATTTCCTTGTAAACTAGTTATAAGAATTTGGTGTTAGATCAAGAAAACAACTTCAGCATGATAAGTCTGAGTATTCTCATTACCTGTTTGCAGGACAAAGCATGGATATTATAGGGAGAAGTTACATGTCAATCACTTCTGGGAGTTTAGGGGTTAAGGTTTCATAGAGTCTGGAGCCCTGCTTTGGCATTCCTCTAGGAGAGTTAGGATGCGGTCGTTTCCTTTTTACCCTCTGGTGTTGATCTGGGGGAAAATTAAGACATGCTTCTGGTTTTTCTATGTTACGGTCACATTGCGTATGCGTTAACTCGCCGTCATCTTTGATGAACTCGCCAACGTATTTGGTCAACTCGGCTAATTCACGATGACACGGGATATGGCTAAGGTGGGTTGACCAAGGGCGTGAGCGAGTTTTCTTGGGCGTGTTCGTGAACTTCTCTTTTTCTTACAAGTTTGGAAAGCTCATTGTTGACAACATTGTATTTAATTCAGATGGAGGCAAGAAAACACATCACTGATAAGATACAAGAGCGGTTTAAGGAGCTCAAGGAGGAGACACAGCTCCTGCACAGCAAATGGAGATAACACCTCACCAAATATTTTTATTTTAGAGATTTAAAATGTTTTTGGTGCTTGATTTATTTGATCTGATTCTTAATTCTCCCCTCTAGCTGCTATACATCTCCTTGTTAATTACTAACGAGAATTTGGTTGTGATGTTACTGCCAAAAGGCGAATCTTTTCGTG